GACTCATCTTGCCAGAGCAAAACCCGCCAACACACAAATGTTACATCTTCTCCTTCAAACACACACACACAATTTAGGGAAGACCAGCGGAAATTATTCCTCTAGGATTAGTTCAAAGCTCAGATGACAAACTTTGGAGCTTCCTAAATATATCCCAAGCTCCCTGTGGTACAGTCACTGCATTGTTCCCAAAATCCTGGCCAGCCCAGACCCTGGAATGTGGTCCATGCCTCACACATCTTCGAATCCCAGGCACCCAGTACAAGACAGTCACATAACAGGTGCCTGAACAAGTTTTGTTCAATGGAAGAAAAGTACTTCCCAGTCACCTGACAGTCTTGTTCCCGTCCGTCCCAAAAGCATCATTTTTAATCATGAATGGGAATGTGATGCTGCTTTTCCGCATCAAAGCAAGGTACATTGGCCATCAGGGGAATAACTACACTTCCTACCACGATCTCCAAAGCAAGCAAAATCTCTCTGTGCTTCATTCAATTCCAATAGCGCTGCCCCACAGGGTTGCCAAGGCTTAACTCTTCATGGAAGCAAGACGGTCCGTGCTTTCTCCTGCAGAGCACCTAGTGGGCTTACACCACGGACTTTCTGGTTAGCGGTCAGTGCTTTAACCATTGTGCCAAACCAGACTCACGGCACCGTGTCAATGCTGACTCATCGGGAGCTCCTATGGGTTTCCAGGACTGTGACTGTTTGTGGGAGTAGAAAGTCCAGTCTTTCTCCCGCACCACTGCTGCTTCCTACCCCAGCAATGTCCTCTGTCCTGCGTAAACAAACGTGGAGCGCTGTGCAGGGTCTCTTTTCAGAACTCTCGGTGGAGAGTTGTAGCCAAGGAAGGCCTGATTACCCTGTCCAGATGTTTTTGTTTGTTTTGAATTTCATATCCCTCTGAAAAGGGGGGTGGGAGTGTGGGAGGGGAAGAAGGCACAGTGAAAACATAAACCAACAGAGGGTCCCCACCAGCACCTGCTTCGAAGCTGCCGACTGTGTCCCAGGCCTATGCCGAAGCAGCAGAGACATGCACGTTTGCAGTTTACCCGTGTACTCAAATTAGCCACAAACCTTTACAGCTCCCAGTTGCTCCTTCCTGAATTTTTCCAAGGGTTTAATCAGGGTTTCGGTTACACTTAATGCCTAGAGAACAAGGGTGATAATAAAAACAGCACAGTGTTACGGGACCATACAAGACAACATTCCTTACTTCATTTCCCTCCGCCACCCCACCCAGAAACAAAATGAACAACACACTTAATTGCGTTATCTCATCCTGCCGACGCGACACTTAAGTCACTTCTAAGCTTATCGAAGCGCTGCAACTCCATAAACTGTTTGCGGGGACAAACTTCAGGGGCAACTCGCCCGTGAAGCGTGTAGCACAGGCTCCTCTAGGGGTCAGTGGTGTAGGCAGAGCAGCTCTCTGCAAACAGCACCGGGGTCCACGTGGCCCGGAACAGAACCCTTCTATGGGACAGGGTTTTCCTTCCTCCCCCTTCTCCGAAGTTTAAAATTCAATTACATTCCTCTATCGCTCGTCAGACTACATTATGTAAAGAGCCAGGACCGTGGCCACAGGCTCACACGCCACCGCGCTGTCCTTGGTTTCAGAACAGCCTCTCCTCAAGGTGGAAGGCAAGTTCACAGGAGAGGTTCCCCGGAGGTCCTTGACAAGGTGAGACGAACACTTAGGGCCCCTGGCAAAGGGCACTTAAGGGAAAGATGGACACAGGCATGTCAGCTCCATCCACACCCACGCTCATTCATTCGGACACTGACAAGAAACAAAGAGAACTATGTAAATAAAAGGGAATATGGGTCTAAGGAGAATGTATTTAAAACATTATTAAGCTTGTGGGTTGTGTTTTCCTCAGGCTCTCTTTCCAGGAGACCAGAAATAATTCCCAGAAAGAGAAAGAAAAACCTCAAACACTGTGCAAGAATCGAGGGCAGTGGTGGCTGGGGAGGTGGGTGGGGGGGCGTTGTTAAAGTGCTACCTCCCTGCAGCGGACACCTGTTCCTGGCCAGTGCACCTCAAGGGTGGCCACACCCTGCTGCCAGCAGAGGCACCAGTGAGTGAAGCTGTGAGGCTGGGCAAGGCTCAGGGGGGCTCTAGCTTCCTAAGACCGACTTAGGAGCAAAGCCTGGAGAGCTGCTGTTTAAAGCTCAGCCAATGAGCCTGAGGGATCACCATGATCCCATCCCCCTGGGCACTGGGTCACCAGGGGCCCAGGCTCTGCTCTGGCCATTAACCACAAAATGCCATACGCTGACCCTCTTCTTGCTAATTTAAAAAAAAAAAACTCCCTAAAATCCAAAATATAAATTACAGAAAAGAATAAAATGAGAGGCTAAAAATAGGAAAGGATTCTTAATATAGCAAAGACTCCTTAATAGTAATATATGTACAGGTTCTACAAAAAAGATCCTTCAACATAAAAGAGAACATCTCAAATACCATATATACTCATGTATAAGCCACGTTTTTCGGCACATTTTTAATGCAGTTTTTGTGGTAAAGTTAGATGCCTAGGCTGGTATTTGGGTTGGCTCATACTTGAGTATACACGGTAAGTGACAATGCCCACACTCAAAGTGCCCCCAATTTGAACTCCCTTCCCGGGGCCTGTTCAGGGCTTACACACTCCCACCCACTCCTAATCACAGCTCTTACTTCCATGTCAGATAACTGGAGCAACAATGATTACAAGGAAAGAATCCAGAGCTCACATCAGCCGGGGTGGCATAGTGGGTTACGCATTGGGTTGTTAACCGAGAAATTAGCAGTTTGAAACCAGCAGCCACTACTTGGGAGAAAGATGGGGCTTTCTACTCCCAGAGTCATAATCTCAGAAACCTACTGGGACAGACCAGCCCCGCACGATAAGATCGGCATAACTCAAAACGGACTCGATTGGCGGTGAGTTTGGGTATGAGTTTGACCAGCCAGGGACAATATTGTGACATCCACAGGGGTTTTTCTCCATTAGCTAATTTTAAGAAGGGAGCCCTGGTCGTGTTATGCGTTACATGTTGGGCTGTTAAGCACAAGATCAACAGTTCGAAACCACTAGTCACTACCTAGGACAAAAATGAGGCTTTCTGCTCCCCTCCAGTTTTACAGTCTGAGAAACTCA